CACAGAGTTCGGTAATTAAAATCAGAAATATTCTGTACAACAGATATTGAAATTCAAATTTAATTGATTATAAAATTAAATATGCATAATGGGATGAATTCCACGTACAGTTCTGGCACACGTCGCTGTAATTATTAATTAAGGATGATTGATTGAAAACTGAGTCAGTCATCGGGAAGAGAAAAATCGTTAAAAATCGCCGGGTACTGAAATTAATTCGCGTAAGCGGACTGTAACGTGATCGGATTACGCGAACGAGCAATTCGCGATGTGGAATTTAAATTCTGCATCGTGGGGATCAGTTTGTCCACGTGACTACACTACGTTTGTCCGGACCTGTGACGAACGTACCGTTGACAATACTCCGGAACCGGAGTTCCGAGAACACGTGCTTTGTCCCCGCGAACTGCACCTGCACCATTCTATTGTACTTCTCTTTTTTGAATCGCGTTATGCGCTCTTTTGTGTTTAGTGTTTTGTGTCGCCTGTATTCGCGTTTCAATCGATTCGTAAGTGCAAGCAACAGTTTACACACGTATCGCGTGACGTTTCTAAATGTAAACTTTTTTTAGCAACTGCTTAGGCATCGTCGAAGAATACAAAATGAAATACACATTTGGCAATTAATTATTCTTATAATTCAAAGCATTTTTTGGCATTTAACTTATGTTTTTTTTACTGGGTATTGTTACTCAATATCTATTTCAAGAATTTATGGATACTTTTTATCTTCAGATCTTTGCCCCAGGGAAAAGCTAAACCGTGGAGTTTAATGGGCATTTTTTCTCGACACATTTCAAGTAATCGTAACACCTATTCGCGTAAGAATTCTCTAAGATCTATTAAAAGAAATTCATTCATTGGAATTTGGTTTTTCTCTACTTGTTATTAATTTCCCATTAGAATTTCTATTAATTTTTATGCTAATGCAAGCAATTTGGATAGAAATATTTGTATTACATAGTAATTAAATTTACATTATATTTTTCATCAAAAATTACATGTTTCCTTATATTATTAGAAGGTTTAATTTGTTATAGCTTTTCATATCTTGTATAAAAGAACAGTTTATAGTTAACTCGTTACGTTGTACAGTCTATGAATAATAGAAAGATGGGAATGCGTGAGATTGGATAAATGTAATTATAATTATAAATCAATGTATGTTTCATTCATTCATTCATTCATTCATAAAGTACATGTAAATATTTGTTCGATTCCATATTTGATGGATCACACAGTTTACTCGCTTTATCAATTATCAATTAAATCTGTAATACCAAACTAGTGTTATCTTAATCATGTTCCAGTGTCAACAAGAAAATTCATTTAATCACGTTTCACACGTTTAGAAACTAACGTATACCTCAGCCTTCGATTCGCATTTAATCTTGATCAATACTCTTATCGTTCTCATAAATATTGCAATTATCCACCGATAAGACAATGTCGTGAAAGACGAAATACGTGTTTAGGAGTCCGTGTTAGAAATATTAGAAGTATGACTAAACACCTTTCAAAAGAAGAAGAGCATTCTCTTTATGACCTCGAGCGATCTGTTATCTCTTCCAATGCGTATCGGCGAACGATATTAAGGCCGTGTGAAACGCAAATGGGATACAGTTGTTTGCTTGATTCCAGCGCGATCGAACCGGTAGCGGTTGAGAAGAACTGAATGGAGACGCCGGCGCTTGGGAATTTGAAAACTATCGTGTTCCTCGCGATATGGGTGCTTCAGCTCCTGGTGCCGGGTGCCATTGCGTCCTACAGCATCGGCGTGGGCAGAGCAGACGCTACTGGCCCCACGGCTGAAGTCGTTTTTGTTAGTATTTTAAAAAATCTTCTTTATGATAAAAAATAATCTATTGTAGTTTCTTACAATTTCTCAGGCTCTAATCATTTGACGACGTGATAATGTTTCAGATATTCTCAGTGTTTAATTAATAAGTGTTTTCAGTGTTTTATAAGATAACACACATTCATAGACATATGAGAATAGATTAAGTGCCCAAATGGAATATTTGAAACTAAACGATGGAATGAAAATTAATGTGAGAGTTCCTTTTTTTCTATGAGTACATGGAAGAGAGAGGGAGGGGGGAGAGTGACAGAACTCCAAAGCATGTTTTCTCTATCTTTTAATAATTAATTAAAATATATTGGGTGCACGGTCGCTTCTCTTATGTCTATGTAGACGTCACATAAAATTGCAATCGAAGAAAATCCTGAAATAACAAGTTTCACTGAAAACAAATTTTTTCTTAAGTACATGACGAAGTAGAAGTATGAAATAAAATTAGTAAGAACGGCAATATACAAAAGAGATCATTGCTCTTCGTGCATTCGCGTGGTGGATTACGGGGATTGTTTACTCTTCCAGATGGGCTACGCGAAGATCGATCAAAAAGGATTAGGAATCCATCTTCGAACGTTCTCCCGTGCCTTCATCATCGATGATGGCGAGGAGAGGTTTGTCTTCGTCAGCGTGGACAGCGCGATGATATCAAACGGCGTTCGCAAATCGGTAATTCTTTCCTCTCGATTTAATAGAAATTTTCATTTCGACACGATTCGATTTAAATCGAGTACAATCATTTTTCTTTCGTAATCATCAAATTTCAGACTTTTATGATCGTCATGATTCATATTAAAAATTGGAAACAATATATAGTAAATTCAGTGTGAATAAACATAAAATGAGTTGAATTTCTTATCATGCAATGAATCAATACGTTTACATATGTATAATATTGTTGATCACTATTCTCACAATCAGATAAACTTTCGTGACAGTCATGAAACTTATAAATTAATTTATCAAAAATTGAAAACAATTTGCAGTAAATTCTGGTTGAATAAATATATTAATGTTTACTCACATTTTTTAATCTCATGAGTAGAATGCGATATCATGTGATGTATTATGATGTTCGTAATCAGTATTGTTACCATTAATCCATTGATATCAATTTCCTCAATATAGCCACAATTTGCACAGCAGCATTTAGTAAAATCGCAAATGCTGTAAATTGTCTATCTTATATTAATATTTATTGATGAAAACAATTATTTAAAAGTGAACAGAACGTCTTAACACATTTTTGTTATGTATATGTAAAACTATGTAGTGACAAAGTTTCGAGTTTAGAAGGTGAGAAATAACAACGCATCTTTCTGGACCGTGGAGCTTTCCTTAGAAAAGAATGGGGAAAATTGGAGTTTGTGACAGGGAATGGTTGTTGGCACAGGTGCTGCAGAAACTCCAGGAACACTTTGGCAGCATGTACACGGAGAAGAATGTGATGATCAGCGGGACGCATTCGCATTCAACTCCGGGTGGATTCATGATGGACGTGCTGTTCGACCTCACGACTTTCGGATTCGTTAAGCAGACGTTCGATGCCATGGTCAACGGAATAGTGAAGGTATTCAGTTCAATCCTCTAAATAAATTCCTATAGCAAAAGAATATTTCCTTATTACCAATAAATGTTTCAGAGCATCGAACGAGCTCATAATGCAGTGGGTCCAGGTCGAATCTTCATTACTCATGGAGAAGTTCACGGTGCTAATATTAATAGAAGTCCACTCGCTTATCTCAACAATCCCAAAGCAGAAAGAGACAAGTAAGTTCTCTTCTTTATCCATTACACGAGCGCTGTCCAACTTCTCTTAGATCATTCTTTTTCTTGCGAACATTTTGAGGGCCAAAGAAGAGTAGATAATCCAAGAGTCAATTAATGTCACGTAGAAAAATAGTTTCAAAGTCTAAAATCTCTCACCTTCGAATACTTCCTATTATCCAAAAGTTGTTTCGCGGGCTGTTAGTTGAACAGCGCTGATCATTATACGATTATTAACAAGAAATTCTTCATTGGAACTTCCTGTTTTGCGATTGACAGGTATAAGTACGACGTAGATAAGATTTTGACACAGATGCAGTTCATCGACGCGAACGGTAAGCCGCTGGGCGTGATTAATTGGTTCGCGGTGCATCCGACCAGCATGAACAACACTAATCATCTGGTGTCGAGCGATAACGTGGGCTACGCCTCGGTTCTCTTCGAGAGAACTGTGAACCCCGACGCGCTGGTCGGCAAGGCAAGTAATCGTAAAACATAATTCTCTGCAACAACAGCAAGAAGTTCTCTTATACCATGGCGAGAACTACACTGCGGCACAAAGCTCACGATTGAGCTTTTCTCTTGTATCAACGCTGAAACTTTAAAACTGAGCTTTGAAACTTAGGGTCCATTCGTGGCAGCCTTCGCATCGACGAATCTCGGCGACGTTTCACCGAACACCCGTGGCCCGAAATGCGAATTTTCCGGCAGCAACTGCTCCGAGCAGTACACTTGTCCCGGGATCAAGGAAATGTGCTTCGCCTCCGGACCAGGCAAAAACATGTTCGAAAGCACGAGCATAATCGCCAACAGGATCTTCAAGGAGTCGTGGGTGAGTCTTTCCTTCAGTTTTTCTGCCTCGAAACATTACATCCGCTTATTTCATTTTATTATTATATTGCGGATTTTTATGCAAGATTTATCGTACAAGTGTCACAATCTGCTTTTGATATTCTCCATATTTTTTTACATGCAGTATTCATACTTTTTTAACTTTCTTATGAATGCATGAAATCCGTATTCTATTTATTATTACAGTAGTTATCTGTTCCTATCATTAAGGATATAGTAGCACGTGATATTTATTTTTAATTGAAGTATACAAAAATTGTCCTATTACTATGAACATACTTATTATAATAAAGACTGGATACAAAATAAAATAAACTATATGAAACTTGTAATTCGTTTACGAGATAGATTAAGCAATGCAGGAAAATAATTAGATAAGAAAATAGCAACTATTACTATTCTCCTAAATCGTTCGTAAGAAACAATGCACGTTTAACTTATCTTTACTGTGTATGAATGAAAGGTGTCGAAACATGGTGAAGTTGCTTTAAACTCGTTTTAGTCTAACTTGAAAAGATCTGCGATGAAAACAATGCTTCTCTTCAGGATGTGTACATATTATTTACTCATTCAAGAATGATGAATGTGTTTTAGTGCATATAATAAAGTAACTGACACAATAATTAACTATCGTTAAAGGTGTGTCACGACGTTGTCAATACATGTTTTCTATTCTGTCAAAATAATATAAATTGACATGTTTTGAGGATATAATAGCTGATAAAAGTAACATACATGGTATCCCAATGTTTACATCTTGATTGAATTAAAACTACAGTTTTTTCTCACAGTAAAATTAATTTGAATCACTTGCACAGTAAATATGAAAGAAAACGTTCTCGCGACTGTTGATTATACGTCCGCGTATTCTGCAAATGTTAATTCGTTCTTTTCTCTTAAGAAGATTTGTCCCTTATTCTTTGCCATTGAATTTTCCTGAGGAACAATTCTCATAGCCTCCATTCAACGCTTCTCTCATTACTGGTCAACGTATTTACGATTAAATCGCGTGAGAAACAGAGAAACGAAGGATTACAAGGTTGAAAGATAGAAAATGAAGATTTTAGTACATGAAATAGAAGAAGCGGTCGAATATGAGAAATAAATCGTTTTATCCTACTCGTACAGAGAGCACACTTCCGGAATGAAATGATAAAAACTAGCAGCTGCACAATGTGAAGGAAAAAAACGAAAAAATTTCAATGGGGCCATAAATCGAGAATAATAACGGAAGTGGAATTGTTAATTATCAAGATACTTCCAGTTTCGTACAGATCCGCCTGCGAGAGCTCGTAATTAGAATATCTACTGTTGTTCGTTGGTATCGTAGCCAACGTCGTGAAAAAAGTATAGAACCGTACGTACACGTAAACCGAGAACGTAAGTCGAAGAGATACGATCGACGGAGGAAAGAAAACGCGCTGCAGTCTAGAGAGCGCATAATGCCAGTATTAAGATTAATTAAAGATGGAACAAACGGCTGGCGAAACACCTTGGGCGTTAATGGTTTAAATGACCTGCGGTTTTTTCGTGTTTTCTCGGCCACGTTTAATTCGACGTTTTTCTTCTTCCTTTCGTTACGGCAAGTTTTTCCTCGTTTGACGTAAAGTAGAAAAATATGAGAAAATCGTAATGCTCGGAACAGCATAGAATTGTTGAAAACAAGGAATAGAGAAAGAAACGCTTAACTCATATCGTTGAAACATCTGTCGATCTTAAGTCGATCGATGGCTAACGAGCCATTGTAGAATTGTCGTTCCACGAGGTGACGAGTAACGAAACAATGATCTCTTCTTCTACTTTTAATTACCCAGGAAGGTAATTACGTGGACGCGCATACAATCGCTTGTTGAATTGAAAGAAAAGCATTTTCCGCCAAATAAGGAAGAGGATAAAGGATAAACAGTGTCGAGATTATTTTACTGACAATGAGTAACACAGGCCTTCAGGCTTTTATTTACATGCGTAGTGATTGTGTCTCTATGCTAGTTCTATTTTATAAAAAAGAAGGGTGGAAGGATAGATTAACTATGCTACGTTTTATAATGCAAAATACTGTGGCACTGTTTTACTGAATCTTTCATTTGCAACATGTAATCGCAATAATGATTGAACATTTTCAGCCAATTTTGTTTAAGATTTAATTTTGTTAATTTATTGCTCAAGCTTTCCGTTCGAACTTCTCTGATCTTTAAAGTCTACTAAAAAATGAAGACAATTTTTAAAACCATCCATTCTTCAAGAACGTAAAATCTCTTTGGACGCTTATGCGATTAACAGTACACCACTTCTTGGCACACTTCCCCTTCCAAAGCACCTCACTCGAGTTAATTAAATAGTAGTAATTGATTCTCAACATCGATACGATCTCCAATGACTATTGCCACGAAAGCAACAGTATAGGAAAAATACTGAATCAAATTTTTGCATACTTGTAGGTAAAACTATATAGAATTATGGTCAATGAAATTGATCAATGCCCAAGTTTCTGTGAATCAATGACGATGCTGAGTTTCCGTTATCTCTTATCAATCCTCACTTACTTCGATTAAATTAATTCTTTTTGACCCTGTTTTGAAATTCCTTCTTCGATATTATTTACACGATTAATAGTGGTGCTTATCGTATTCTTCGTAACTATTATAGTACGCCGGTGCCACGTACTTCGCAACGGGGATCGGTTTAGGGTGATACGCAGGTCCCACCTTTTTAACCACCGCGTTGAATCCGTTATGGTCGTCCGCGGTGTACTCGACGATCCTGACGCTGCCGTCGGGCTCGTTCACGCTGTAAGATCCATGGACCACGTCACCGTCGCGAACCTCGTGTTGCGTCTTCACATCTCCCGTGTGAGGGTCGTGAACACCATAATTGAAAGTATACTTCGGATGAGCCTGGAATCAAACATTTTTGTTCAAACCAATTCCCATTCATTGACTTACTTTTCTAAGATGATATAAAATTATAGAAATATACGTCAGTGAATAGAATTTGTGATCTTAATTATTTTTCAACATTAAAGAAGTATTTATATTTCTCACTTCACTTTCTAGGCCTCTTTTGAGAATTCCTTTGTAAACTCACTTTCCCATTGCATTTTTTTTTAAACACTGAATATATTTACTGTCACTACTGGATTCAGACATTCTTTTAGTGATCTAATAATTCCATTAATAATAATTATATATAATCTATCTATTTGGATGAAAATCTTAAATAAAAATAACTTTAAATATTTGAGCTCGCGAAATTATATAATAATGAAGAAACTAGTCAAGCACTTATCTGGTATCATTATGGTATCATTGATATCACTTATTATGTGCTAAATTAGATAACATCTTAAAAAGAAAAAATGAAAGTCTGCAGAAAGGTTCATATGAATTCATAATGTACTCTGCAATTCTAATAAGGGTAATTTGTTCCCGGTAACAGTCCAATTCTATTTAGTAGCGAAGGTGCAACCGGGTCTGCATTATTGAAACTCATAGAGGATTCTTTAACGAGCGTCGCGAGAAAGTGTCGCGGAAACGCAGCGCGCGACAATGAGACACACCGCGGAAAGGTTTTCTTATGCCAAACACCACTTTCCACGGTCAGGAATTTCAATTAACATAGGCGAGGCGTCACGGCTCGCGCTCCGAATTATAATACATAAATGCACACCGATACCTGGTTCGCAATTCCGCACGCAAATCGTCGCGATAGTTATCTTATCTGATCGGTCGACGACCGGCCATGCTAATAGCGCAATTAAATCCCAATTTGTTTATCCTAATCGAATTATCACTTTCTAGGCCTCTTTTGAGAATTCCTTTGTAAACTCACTTTCCCATTGCATTTTTTTTTAAACACTGAATATATTTACTGTCACTACTGGATTCAGACATTCTTTTAGTGATCTAATAATTCCATTAATAATAATTATATATAATCTATCTATTTGGATGAAAATCTTAAATAAAAATAACTTTAAATATTTGAGCTCGCGAAATTATATAATAATGAAGAAACTAGTCAAGCACTTATCTGGTATCATTATGGTATCATTGATATCACTTATTATGTGCTAAATTAGATAACATCTTAAAAAGAAAAAATGAAAGTCTGCAGAAAGGTTCATATGAATTCATAATGTACTCTGCAATTCTAATAAGGGTAATTTGTTCCCGGTAACAGTCCAATTCTATTTAGTAGCGAAGGTGCAACCGGGTCTGCATTATTGAAACTCATAGAGGATTCTTTAACGAGCGTCGCGAGAAAGTGTCGCGGAAACGCAGCGCGCGACAATGAGACACACCGCGGAAAGGTTTTCTTATGCCAAACACCACTTTCCACGGTCAGGAATTTCAATTAACATAGGCGAGGCGTCACGGCTCGCGCTCCGAATTATAATACATAAATGCACACCGATACCTGGTTCGCAATTCCGCACGCAAATCGTCGCGATAGTTATCTTATCTGATCGGTCGACGACCGGCCATGCTAATAGCGCAATTAAATCCCAATTTGTTTATCCTAATCGAATTTCGATGACGGAACTTTAAGTCCCATTAATTTATTTACTATTATTGAGTCTTCATTAGAGTCACAAAGCTTTTAGAAGACAGTGCACAATTTTTCAACTATAGTTGTTGAAATAGAATAATACAAGAATTCATTTAATCCATTGCATTATCAGTCTATTGTAGATTATTAAATTAAACATGAAATGAAATATTACAGTAATTACTGTATCAACTATTATGGCAATCATTATAGGAAATGTCAATTAGTGTGTAAATTCTTGTATCAAATATTATATGAAACATCGTATCAATTACTATATGACATACTATACATCAACCGTTATATGCAATATTGTATCAATTTTAATAATAATATTTATAGCCAGCAATGTCTGATACAGATAAATTAATAGAAACAAGTAAATGGTGACACTTACATAGTAATCGTGTTCGTGGTCGGCGTGATGATTGTATGCGTGTGATCCGTGATCGGGGGCTGCTACGACGTGAATAGGTGAGGCGGAAACAGAGTGGACCGGAACTGCGACTGTAGGTAGTACCGCGTGTCCTTCGTATTCACCAGCGGTGTATCCTTCGAGGCCTTCATAATCCGCGTACGGAATTCCGTGGCCTCCATTATAGCCACTCAAAACTACCGCCTGGCAGAGAGCAACCGATGCGCATAAGAAGCATAAAATCTGGAACTTTAATTAAAAAAATCTGACTTAAGTAAATCTCCATCGTATGGAAAAGATTGCACTTTCATTTACATATTTTTGTAGAAAAAGATTTTTGTACTTGTGTTCGACTTTGTGTGAAACTAATTTTGGTTTATCAAAATAGAGAATTTTATATAATTTAATGATCAGTACGAAAGGAGACTGAATCTAATGTGGCAAGATTAGTGTTTTGAAAGTGATTAATATTTAATTATTTAATTGACTATTTTAACCAACGTAAAATTAATGTGATTTACTCTTGGAATTGGTGCATTCTTGAAGATTCAATAACAATAATTCATTTAATGAACTCTTTAATAAATTCATACACAACATAGTTTGATAAAATTTCTTGCATATGATACTTTGTTGCACAAGAAGTTACAATTGTAGGAGCAAAGTAATAAATTCTAAAATCGTATGTTAATTTTCTTAATTCGAGGGAAACTTTTCTTTGATGGCAGGTGACAACTTCTCACGAATTTTCAAACTATGAGAGAGTTAGTATCCTGCGGAATTAATTTTTCTCACGTACAGACAGTTTATCAAATAGCTCATAAAATGTTAAGAATTTCAGCGTATCCGTCTGGGTATTAATGCAAACGACGTATACGTTCGTTCCCCACATCCTGAAAGAATCGGCGCATTTAAATGCATCGCGCGAATCGCGTCGTTAAGAGTGCTCGATTTTTCATCGTCGCGACTTCGTGCTCCGCGTTCCGCATACAGCTGCACCCGGGCAATATGAGAATCTAAAACTGTGATCAAAGTGAACGACCCAGGATACATTTTCCATGCATTTACCAGTAATTTAAAACTCGTTTCCAACTCCTCGACCACTCGGACGTGATCAATCCCGTTAAAAGGTTTGGTGGTTAAACGATTTTCGTTGAAGTTCGACGCCACGGGAAAGTCATAGAGCAGAGCTCGTGAAAGTTTCTCGTTTCATCTTTCGCGTCGCTTCACGTGCTCCTCTTTCCCCATGAAAAGTGTCCTTTGCCGCTTTCTCGGCCGACCTTGCCTCCGTAAACCAATACGGATCCACGGAAACAGCCACTGGCTTCCGCGTTTTCTCGAAGCCGCGAACAAAACGCGTCCCTCGTATCGTCTGTCCCCGACAAAAGGACTAGTTCACAGTCGATGCCACCGCAGATCGATCTTTCCACGGGTCGACGTTCTTCGATAAACCGAGCTCTTTGTCCGAATAGAATTTCGTGTTAGGTACAGAATTTTTTCTCAACATTTCGTCGGAGAAGCCGTGAAAGTTATCATTAAGACAATCTACTTTTTGTTCGGGACATGATTTGTGATGATGCTCTTTCTGGTGCGTGAAAGTAACAGTGTTAATTTTTTTGTCGAGGTGATAATTTGTGATGAACTTTTTCCTGGTGAGAATAATATAGTCTCGATTTCTGCTCATGTCACAATTTTTACTTACTGGTTTCTTTTTTCTAGAATTTTGTATGTAATCTTAAATCGGTGAGTAGAAATTGTGACATGAACAGAAGAGGTGATTTGTGAAGATGTTCTTGCTGACGCGTGAAAGTAAAAGTGTTTAATGTTTTTTACTGAGATGGCAATTTATAATGAACTTTTTACTAGACGAACGAAATATATTATAT